CTTCTTGCTTCTTTTTTTCCCCTTAGGCATTACCTGAAATGCAGATTTCCAATTATGCAGCAACGCTTCATCGGAAGAAAATATTAGTGCCAGCTCTTTATAAAGTTATTCAAGATCCAAATAATGAGGTATGAAACAATCAAATCACTGTTTAAAAAGGCAACAATATGTACATTAATACAGTTCATATAGGAACTCCTTGTTTCTTTAACAAATTAGTGTGAATAACAGTTTGCTTCCATCTATTCTCTGTTCTATTTCATTTGTCTTCACTAGGAGAATGTCTTCAAGTTAAACACTATATACTGTATTTGAAATATTTAATTGCACTCAAATTTGCTGCTTGAGTAAGATGGAGTAAAATATTAAACTTTGCATTGTAGAAAGTTTGTTGCAGATGGGACTATTGCGCTGGAGCTGATCATTAAATATTCTGGATCTTTGAGAGCAGAGCTGAGCAACAAATGCTGGCATGCTGATCAGCCGTTTGACAGCTAACCGCATGACAATTGCAATGGAGCCATCAGAGTTAGTAGTTGTTAAACATTTACCAGTTTGCTGCTGTCTGGAACAAAGACTTTACTTGTATGTCCAGGATAAATAAGAATGGTTAACTTTGGTTTCTTAATTGGTTATTTGAAAGAGAGCCTCTGGGGGTAAAGAATTTAGGGTTGTGAAGTAGGATCAGAAAGTTCCAGATTTCTAGTCCATGCTAAGCAATGGAAACTCACTGCATGTTTAGCTAGTTGCGCTCTCTCAACCCAAGCTATTCCAGAAGTGAGCTATGCCATCTTGAGCTCCTGGGGGAAAGGTAAGATAAAATAAGAAACCTGATAGGTAGATTATTAAAAGGAATATACTTTTGTGTTTGTACGTGTTAAATAGAATATGAACCAAGAGTTTAAATATTCTTTCCAAGGGATATTTGGAAATAAGAAAGAAAAATGATGTGATTAGATGGAAATTTGTCATTAGATTATGGAACCTGCAAGGATATTATTTCAGAATAGCAGTGGAAAATATGCTCATGGTCTTTGGCCTGTTTTTAAAGGCAAAATGCAACTTCCCCTTCCTAAGCATGTTTTTCTGATGCTTGGAAAAATAAAGTGTAATTCTCTTGGTCAAGGATTCTCAAAGAGTCAAGGATGACCTCTTGGGTGTTGTGGTACAACTTGAGAAGCAGGAGGGTCTCATTCCTATGCTGCCTGGATACATGTAGTCCCGGTTGAGCTTCTGGCCCCGGACCAGGCCATGTGCAGGATTCAGATCCTGGGGCTCTGCTTTTGCTCTTAACAGACCTAACCAT